TAAAAAAGTGTTTGGTAAAATTAATTGTTTTTAATTAGCTGTTGACATGTAAAATTACATATAAGGACACCAACATACCTTATCATTCTAAATTATGTCGAACTTATAATTATTTAGGAAATAAAAATAATTAATATTTTAAATATTTATTTAAGTGATTTAAATTTAAAAACTTACATAACAATAAAATGAAAATATTTTTTAATATAATTATGAATTGCAAAACATGAATAAATGATTCTATTTTGATCCATTAATGAATATCTCGGCATTTTATGCAATATCTTCCATCGAGATTGATCATAATTCTATTATTCTCCCCAAATTCTAGATCGATCCTAATTCGATTATCTCATTAACAAGCTTTTTTTGCTGCCAAATTTTTTTTTTTAAAAAAAACATGGATGATCATAATTTCATTTAAGATCAAAAGTGGTTATCATTCAAAACTTGCTCAATTACAGAATTTATATAACTCACTACACTTATAAACAAGTCTCCTAATGTAATTTTGTTAAAAGGTCATTAATTGGGAATACATTTGTGCACATATGGTCATTAACTGCGGCCTTTTTTATTTTAATTTCACAAAGGTTAGAGAGAAATAAAAGGGCAGTTATGGCAAAAACATTTATTTATTTGGAAAGCCAAGTTCAAAACGCTGCAAGTATGAGCGTTTTCATTTTTAGCTGTTGGAGCAAAAAAGCTGATCTCAAAAGCTATTTACCAAACATCATTTTGGTTGAATTTGAAAAAGTCAAAACGCTAGTTTACTAAAAAAGCTGAAATATAGCAAAACGCCATTTTACCAAACAAGGCCAAAATATATTCCCTGCCCACTGTGGGCAGTGCCCACTAGTTTGTTTTATATGAAAAACGTATTCTGAGAATACGTTTTTCAATAAAAACGTATTCTAAGAATACGTTTTTTCAATAAAATACGTTTTTCAATAATTTTATTGAAAAAACGTATTCTCAGAATACGTTTTTCATATAAAACAAACTAGTGGGCACTGCCCACCGTGGGCAGGTGAGCGGGACTGGGCTTCATATTAAGTAGATCGATATGTCATCTATTTATAACAAATATTTATAACAAAAATTCCTCCCTATATATTAATTCAAAACGTGTTGAGTCTAGGTGGCAGATTTTTACGCTTCGGATGCTGACATGGCAAAAATCTATGCTGCGTGATGTGTTTATATTATTTTTGCTCTGGAGTGAGATTTGAGACATAAATAACTTTACACATATATTCATTAACTCAACACCCATGTTGTACATGAGTATTAGTACTAGTCCCTCCCTATATATTAATTCAAAACGTGTTGAGCCTAGGTGGCAGATTTTTACGCTTTGGATGCTGATATGGTGAAATCTATGCTTCGTGATGTTTTTATATTATTTTTGCTCTGGATTTATGGTTGGTATTAGACATAAATAACTTTACACATATATTTATTAGCTCAACACCCATGTTGTACATGAGTATTAGTACTAGTCCCTCCTTATATATTAATTCAAAACGTGTTTAGCCTAGGTGACAGATTCTTACGCTTCGGATGCTGACATGGCGAAAATCTATGCTCCGTGATGTTTTTATATTATTTGTGCTCTGGAGTTATGTTTGGTATTAAACATAAATAACTTTACACATATATTTATTAACCCAACACTCATGTTGTACATGGGTATTAGTACTAGTGTATATTTATGTTGCAAAATGCTATAGTTTGTCTGTGTTGGTTTGGCTATTTTTATAGTGCAAGACATTTTAGCTTGAAAGTATCCATACTACTTATATGTTTTTTGTCTAACTATTAGACTTGTATAAACTAGACATAGACTGTGTTTGATAGAAAAATAAGCTAGTTTGTAGTTTATTTGGTTAGTTTATAAGCTCCATGTATTCAAATAAGTCTTGTTTGGTATGACGAGCTTTTATAAAAAGCTCGAGCTTATTTGACAAGCTTTTTTAAATAGTTTTTCAAATAAGTTAGTTGAATTTTTTATTCCAGCTAGCTTATCAATTAATTTTATCGAACATTTTTATGATATAAGCTAACTTTTCAGCTATAAGTCATAAGCTATAAGTTATAAGTTCAAAAATTACTGATAAGCTAAATAGTTACTGATATAAGCTAACTTTTCAGCTGTAAGTCATCAACTATACATTTTATACAATCAATATAGTGATTCATTTGCAACTAAATAGTTGCATATTATTTATTTTAACCAACGATCAATTTTTTTAAACATAATATCATTATCTAACTTATAATTGTGATGTTATATACATAAATACAACTTATAATACTTTATTTTTAATATTTAATACTATTATATAATTTATAATTTTAATATTATATGCATATAAATAACTTATAATATTTTATTTATATAGGTACAAATGCACATGGAAACATTTAATTAAAACCACTCACAAAATCAATTGTTTGCCTAGTGGAGGTGTAATCTCGTTAGATTAATATATAATATAATATAAATGAAAACTTTAGTCAATTTGAATTGATTAACCAAATTTATTATTCTATGAATTCACGGTGATAATGTGGTTACTGGTTCGTATTAAATACTAAATAAAATTATTGTTGGTCTATAGTGTCATTTGATTTTTTTGCTGTCCAATTGATTAAATTATAATTTCAGTGTTTAAATAATGGACTTTCTTCATAGTATAATTCAAGAATCCAGATTGGATCTGTGAAAGTTTCATGTACTGGCAATCGGGCAAAGAAAAAATAATAATAAATTTTGTATTATTTAGGTATATTGGAATCAAGAGGTAGTTGCAGACATGGACTTGGCGTGATGGGCGTGGTAAGTATAGATAGGGATCAGTTCATATTCAATATTTTATAGTTTATACATTTGAATCGACTGTTTCAGTTTCGAACCGAACCGAAAGTTCGACCTTTTTTCTTAAAATAATTTTTTTTTTTAAATTATTTTTTATTGTTTTTTAATGAACTGGGCAGCCAAGAACTGATAGTTCAATGAACCGGCTCGTACATATGTTCAAGCCGGTTCAGGGCCCTTTAACCCTCGACGGCGGTTTTGACCCGAAATCGGTTTTGGCCATGACTAAAACCTAATAATCTGCACTGAAAGTATTCCATTCGGGTGCATTTTAGCTGCATGAATACAGGGCCATCAAAAACTGATTGCATCATTACTAAAGCTGCTAACACATCTAAACTACATAAAAATAGATATTTCTATAGTATGATCACAAGCACATAAACTGTACAATTTCAAATGGTGAGATTTTCCTGAATCCCAGTAAATGTGCCGATTATCTTGCCACCCATGTCGGGAAATGTCTCACAACCGGGCAAAGGCGTAACCTTTCCCGAGCTATCAACGTGCAACGGGTACTTCAGCAGGTGCCCTCTCATTGCACTTATCTCGCTCGACTCGAACTCTCTCCAGTTAAGCTCACCCATCCACCTCACGCGCCTCACGCACTCTAAGCTCTCGGGATGCTCAAAGCATTGCTCGAGAGTGCCCGTGTGCTCTGCCCACAGAGACATCCTATATCCATATATCTGTAAAAAAATATATATATTCAAATAAAATAACGACATGGCAAATATGTCGTCGATTTGAATTTAAGAATGATTTTTTTTTTTAACCTCTCCACGTGGATTAGCATTTTTGCTTGCCCAAGTGTAATGAGGCTGATACGCGCCCATGGCAATTTCGGTATCTCTCGTCCCTGCTAGAGAGCGTTGGTTGATGTTAGCGGACCCCAATATCACGTACTCGTCGTCCACTATCATTCCCTTCGAGTGGACATATATCATGAAACGACGGTTCTTCCTACTAAGGGCCTGTGTGTCAGGACACGGTTAAAATTTAGATCACAATTATGAAATATACGGTGTAAATTTGAATTCTAATTTGAGTTGGTACAATTTACCTGTGGGGTGCTCGTGCTGGAGCTCTTGACGTTTGACATATCGGAACCACTGTAATCCGGCTCACGATTCCCAAGGCAAAAGAAGTTCAAATAATCTTGGGGTTCGCATTCTGTGTGGAGGCCCGTCTCTACTAAAGCATTGTAGATGATTTCGTACATCATCTGCATCGTGTTGTACTGCAGGCATGTGGGGAAACTATCAGTTTATTCCTTTTTAATTTGAAAAAAACACACACACACACATACACACAGACACTCACAAACACAAGAACACACCTGCCAAAAGAGAATTCTTTGAGTTGGAGTACTTGTAGGGACGCCCTCTGGCCACATCGGGACCAGGATATATGCAGCAAACCTCTCCCCAGCTCGGATTTTGTTCGCAATCTTCAGTGCTATTTCCATAGGGATCAAATTGTTTGCACCTGAAAATTTATACAAATTTGGACTGTTTCTTATATTCCTTAACATATCAGGATAGTCTGAAGATTAAGTGAATTGAGCTGCTACTCACCCAAGTCCTTGTAGTGAGCCCAGTTGTAAGACGATCCAAGAAAGTATTGGTTCTCGATGTAAATGAAATGTTGAGCAGAACGAATTGCCTTAACATAAGCTGTATGTACACTCATGTCTATCAATACATTCTTCCCACATACCAGATTCTGTTCAACACAGAATATAATCTTACTAAAATTCATTAGTTTGTTACAACACATCACAATATTTTACTAAGATGCATTTACCCTCTCCGAAGCCTCCCTCGGATTCTTGGGGAACCCTTTAACCGAGTTCGAGTCAATTGAACGAAAGACCTATATTTCACCAAATATCTTCAGAGAGCCGCAAAACTGAATTAAAACCAAATAATAAACTATATATCGCAAATTCTAGCAAACCTGGACGTTCCAAGACTCTGGATCATCTTCAGATACTGTGGCTGCTTCATTTATTCCCATTATTTCAGGCATTCGTTCAAGCTTCAGCAAACAATCATCGTACAAGCTTTTTAGTTTGTTTGGGCCATGGCGCTTTGCCGCCCTTAGCCACCTCTCTTCGAAATTCTTCAACACATCATAAGCCGCTGGACCATCAATTCTGCAGTGCAAATCATGCCACGGCTCTCTAGGACAACCCGCTGTGGGTCCCTATATTCAGTTGATAAGAGATTCTTGATCATTTAATCTTTTTGTTGAGAAACACAAATCACAATATCCCATTTCCAGCATTTTGTGCTCTTGCATTAAAATGAAGTACCGTGAAATTAGGATTATGATAATCGTCCTTGTGGATAGTTTGCAACGTGCTGAATAGCGGGTGCTGTGGGGTGTCGTATCTACCCTTGCAGAGGTCGAGGCCACCAACAAAGGCCACAATTTTTCTTCCATAGTTACTGGACTCTACATCAACTATCACACTTTTTTGATGGTGCGTGTAGATCGTACCTGTTTCCTAAACATGGAAGCTAGATATAAGTCACACTTCAAGTCCCGTGCAAAAACAAAGAAGCATATTATCGAGGGCAAGCAAAGTGTTTTTCCCTCCAAGCCAAATTTCTAGCTTTGCTCCGTAGCTTATGGCATACATTAGGCGATAGAAATCCGAAGCAGACTCGCGTATAGGTTCACTAGAGCAATGTAAAAACTAGAATCAAATTAGAAATCCTAATGCAAACTAGAATGTACCATCACAAACCTGTTTTTTGGCCCAACTACCTTTCCCAGCAATCCGTGGACACAGAAGTACTCTCACAGATGAATGCTTGAAGTATCTGCGCGTCTCGTCATCTCCGGTATTCATTACACCTTCCTGAGCAAAATCATAAAAATTTCAACTTTACCAACTTGCACCAAAACTACGTCAAAACTTAACAAGCTGTATTGAAGTGGCTACTGAAGAAGCTTTTTTTTTCTTACAGTTTTATACCCCAAAATGCTCGTGGACGTTGGGTCATCCCACACGAGCAGCAGCACCCTCACCCCTTCCTGTGACTTCACCTTGAGCAGCTCCCCCAAGTTACCCCCATCCTCCACGAGGGGGTCGTCCCTCACGAGCCGGACCAAGTGATAAACCGACCACCCCGCGATGTAAACCATCCTGCGGGCCCCACGAACCGCCTCGTAAACCTCCCGCCAGCACAGCCCCCTCTCGTAAACCCTCCCGTCCCCCAACACCACGGTGGGTAGCGCCCCGTCCCGCACGTGCGCGTCTTGGTACAGTGTCACCCCACCGCAGCCCCTCATCGGGAAATACGTCCCGGGCACGGCCCCTGCCCCTCCCCTGTACAGCGGGGCCCACTCGATTGGGATGTACTGAATGGAGAAGCTCAGGAAGGCCCCCGAGCTGCACGGCCGCCCGTTCGGGCCGACGAGCGGGTAGGTGGCGTTGACCCGATAGCCCGATACTAACTGGTCCGCGGGGACCCCTACGGCCCCGATGATCTCCGAGCCCACGAGGTCATTGTCCTTGACCACAAACTGTACCTCGGATGCTCGGTGGGCCACGGGTACGTGGAAGTGCTGGGCCCACACGGGGTTCTCGTTGTCCTTGATCACGAAGGTTCGGGCCAGCACGGCATTGGAAACGGACACGGTCACATACGGGTCGCTCGTCTGGATTTTGCCGGACAGGCTGCCGAAGAGGTTACCCATGCTGTGGTTGAGGAGGTCCATGTTGGGGAGATTCTTGGCCTCCTTGACCCAAATGTCGAGGTTGCCGTGCAGTAGATGGAGGCGCAGGGAGCTGTCCGAGGTTCGGAAAGGGAGGTGTTGCATGGCCTGACCGTGGTACGAACCTTCGGGGTTGTAATAACTGTAGTGAGCCATCTGAATATCTGATAGATCATAAAATTGTCTCTATATCCATCAAGATTCAATAGCTTCACACCAAAAGAGGTTTGTTTTTTTTTTTTTTGTTTACAGGATAGGTATTGGGAAGTTTGTCTGATCTGATCAGTGATGGGAGAGCCGTTGTTCTTGGAATATTATGCGGAATCGAATAGATCATTCATTATACAAGTAAGTTAGTTTCTGGTATTTATATGATGGCCCCATGTACAGATATAGTTGTATGATACATATAGTTACATTTGGCACTGTGCTAGTGGAAATAAACAAATATGATAAAATTCAGATTCATAATAAGATTTTAAAATAGGTGTTCTATTTTAAGTGATTGTCTCATTATTTGGTATCACAGTCACTGTGGTTGGAGTTAAATGGAGGGTACAAGAAAGCAAGTGAAATAAAGTGAAGATTATGTTATACATCACACTTTTATTTCTATCTTCTGTTGGCACCAGAAAAAAAAGATACATCTGCAGATACAAGAATTGGTTCAACACGGAAATGAAGAACTGCAATATACCACAGGATAACCGATTAGCCATTATACACGATAGACGAGTAGCATCTGATACACGAATCAGTAAAACAAAAGAAATGCGAGTTTTTTGCTTTATAGCCCCATTCTGAAATGTAAACGTGTTAGCAGATTCCGCTAAGATAACAAAACGTACATGCATCCACCATTCTACGAACCTGTGCTGAAATCCGACAAGGTATGCTCTATCAATTAACTAACCCTTCAATCGATATTGTTCCAGAACCATACTGACATAGAAGAATGTAGAGCCTTTTCTCGATTCTCAATTTATCTTTTGCGCTTGGACTTGAGAGACGTGGCCGACTGTGAATTGGCGTGCCAGTTGCGTTTCCTTTGGTTGATAAACCAGTTGTTTATTTGCTTCAGCTGCAAACCCGTCTGCTCTACAAGCTTTGCTTTATCTTCTTCCTGCCACATAATGTTCAGCATCAGGTTACAAATTATGTATATCTTATTGTATATTAACACATATTACTCTTATGAGTCTCCAGTATTCATTTGTTTAGGTTTAGCTAGAACACAAGTTGGTTTGACAGTTTTTGGTCAATGAATATGTAATGTATCTATAAACATAGTATAGTGGCCGAATATAGAAAAGGTAAAAACGACATGCTAAAAATTATCAGTAGGCTGTTATAATAGATTATAATAAACAATGTCAGATTTTACCGTGGGATAAGGCCACTTGGAATGTTGCTGCCACCAGTTCTTAAGCACGCTAGTAGTGTCACCAGGTAATTTCCCGGCCCTTCGTTTTCTCATTATTTCCTCTCTCACGTCTTCAATTCTCGACCTGAATCCCTGCATAATAATATCATATCATCTTGTATAATATAACATTACGTTAAAAAATTCATTTCTTTACACAATAAATGTGAGATTCTGATTAAAAAACTGCATCTCGCGATCTTATTAAGCTGCCAATGCATGCTCTATGACAGTCAATAGACTTCTAGAAACTCTAATAGCAGGCGAAACATTAAAAAATGGACTTTTTTTAACCGTGTTAAAAAAAAGGAAAGTAAAAGGTTTCACCTGTTTGAGCTCAATTTTGAGTTCTTGTCTCACTCTTTCCATTAAAGTCCTCTCTGATTCAGTAGGGAACAATGGACCAAATCCCATGAGATCGTTATCATTAGCTCCCGATTGGTCTAAGGTAAAATCCGTCTGCAGCTCGTTCTCATCATCTGACATAGTTGCCCCTGTGCCTTCACCAAGTGTGACCCCTTCAAGAATTTAAGACAAA